GGGGGGGGGGGGGTTGATTGTTTGTTTCATGAAGTATATACATTCTAAGCTGGAAATGGTCAAATAAAAAACTCTCATATAAATTTTAAGGGGTATAACATTCTTCCTGAAGTATTATAGAGAGAAAATATACCTTAATACAATATACAATAAAGAAGGGGGTGTGGAATTATTTTCAGTATAATATGGGCTTTGGTAGTTTTGAATAATATAGCTAAATAATGACATTTACTTTGTGCAGGTTAAATAGATCCCAGCACTGTATTGACTATACCAATTACTTGTCCACTATCCACAGGACAATCCAGTTAATTGTTTTTGTGCAGCTGAGTTATATCTAGGGATGAAATTACTTTGACCAAAAGTGGTACTTCTAAATGTACAGTTTGTCTTATCTTAAAATAGGTCCAAACACGCAAGTAGAAGCGTATCTTTAGAGTGCCTACTTTTCTTTGCTGACTGTATGGGGAGCCTAAGATGTTTAGGTCAGAAGTATCTGCTCAATGCAGACACTTAGAATTACATCCCTGATTTCTTTGGAAACTCAGCTTTGGATCCTAGCTATCACACCATTAGTAAAGCAAAAAGAGGAAGTGAAGAACAGAAAAGTTCTGGGAGGACATTGCTTGTGCCTGCTTGGAACTACAGCCCCCTTTTTGGAGACCTTTAAAAGCAAAAGTCTAATTGTTACTTATCTGGGGAGAGACAGAAAACCCTTAAGAATGAGAGTCAGAGCATCAAATTTGGGGTAAGAAACCTTTTGTTCCCCATGAACAAAATGAGATGACTCATTCTGTGGAGTAATTTTGAAGGGCATTCTTTTATCTTATTTATTTGTATATTTGTTTTTGTACTGTACTGAATAATATTTTAATTTAAAACAGATCTTAAAAGGTTTTCCCTCATACATTTACTTTTTCAGTTTTGAATATATTAATCCAAAAGTATACAAGCGTTTAAAAATGTAACTACTTTTCCCTACAGTTAGGGTAATTAAAAAGTGAAAGCCTGAAAAAATGCCAAGAAAATGTAAATTTAAAGATTTATGTGTTTATTTATATGTGTGTTTGATGGAAATGACTTTTTCCTTCTTTTTCTTTTTCTCTTTTAATAACCTTTTTTTTCTTTCTTTTTGCATTTTAAGGCTAATCTAGTTAAGTAAGCAAGCAATTGGTCCTGAAAAAAATATGAAGGGAACATTTAGTGTATGTTGTAATTACAAAGTTTCAACTTTGATTAATTTACATGAGCAAGCAAACAAAACACAAAGATGAAAACCTTAAAAAAATCCACAAAAACAACCCAGAAGTTTGCTTTGCAATTGTGGCTCAAGTGTCTTGAAAATTAGCAACACTTGCTATATAAAAAAGCTGTTGCAAATTTGTGTGAGTGCAAACGTCAATGACAGATTTGTATTTCCTGCAAAAGAAACCACAGCAAGACAGGCTTTCTACCATGAATTCAAAAAGATGAAAATCAGTGTATTACTTTGGTCTATATTTTGTATTGATTAAAATATTGTGTGTGGAAAAATAGTAGAAGACCCTGTGGAACGACAAAAACATGAGAAGTAAGTGAAAAATCTAGAAAAGTTCCTAGAACAAAATGTTAGAAAAAATATATGGGGTTTTTTATTGTTTGTTTGTCTGTTTTATATTGTATTGTTTGTTTGTTTATTAGAAGGGGAATAAATACCATAGAAATATGAAGAGCTCAATTGGAAAAACTGTAGAAAAAAATTGAAGATTTTCACCACCAGTCCTAAATGCCATTCTGTAAATAACAAGTGCAGGATGAAAAAGCTACCAGATGAGAATATCTGGCAAAAACCAAAGAAAACCATCATTTGTGTCCAAGCTAAAGAAGAAAAGCCATCATGAAAGGCAGAACCTGTAAGGGAAATCTGTAGGCCAAAATTTTCTTTCATTTCAAGGAGTGAGTTTACATCACGTGAAACAAACGAAATCTGAACAGGTCCACTGCAGAAGTGTTAAGCAAATTAATTAAAAAATAGCTGTTAGTTTTTCACTGTCTCAAGCCACTTGGTACAGTCTTAACCATATGTGTTTAGATGTGGTCTTATGAAAAAATTGATATTTACAGAAACATGAAACTGGATAAAACCTGCTACCTCACTCTCTGAGGTATTGGAGATGGGTAAAAAGACTATGTTATAGGTCTAAATCATAAAGAACACATCATGCTCCATCTTAAAAATAGGTCAGTTGTGGGTTTTTTTTGCTATGACTACTTTATGACTTTCACAGAAAATACAGGATTTATACAGAAAAATGTCAATATTGCACAGAAAAATTTGCAGAAGTTAAAATGTGTACACAATAAAGGCTCAGAAATGTAAACAAGTCAGGTAGTCTACCTATCTCGTGTCCTAAGTTTCAACTCTACCAAGGTCATTACTAAGAAATATGTTGTTAGTGTCCTCCAGTTCCAGCTACACCACAACTTTCCCAGACAAACTATGCCAGGTTGATTTAACATGTGGAAATTCTGGTAAGATTTTCTGTGAATCCAATTCATTCTTTCTTCATGCAGTTTAAATTAATTTGATAAAAACTTGGAAAATGGATTTGGAAAATAAACTTGTCCCTTTCTTTTTAGCAGACATTTATGTTTTTGAAGGATGTTACCAGTTATTCTGGCAGTCTTCTCTGCTTTAGCAAAATTATCCAAATTATTTTGATCTTTCCTTATACCTTGTTTCTGGAGGTCTGATACTGTTTGCTTTCCTGTGTGCACTTTCCACTTCTATCTCTGAAGTGCAGCACTCAAAATTGGATACCATGCTTTAGCTCAGGCCTTATCATGAAAACCAGAGGTTTAATTCATGTATCTCACAGGCTACATTTATGTTTATATATCCCAGTATGGTGTTTGCCATTTCATCTTCTTTTGTTTCCATTGTGTGTCAAAACATGTCACTTAAATAATAGAAAAATCAGTATAATCTTATTTTTATAATATACAAATATTTCTTTTCCTGCCTCTAGCAGTTGTCCCGTGTAGCGTATGAAGGTATGGACCCCGGTCGGTGATGTAACCAGAATCGTTTATTATAACAAACAGGCAGCTTGTATAGTACTAATGTATCTTCTTTCCCAACCCACACACCCCTGCAACCCCCAACCGCCAGGCAAGCAGAATTCCCCTCAAACAGTCAGGCCTCCAGGCATTGTTTACAGGTCATCTAGACTTGCTCACTGGCCTTCCCCTGCCAGTGTTCCTGCTTCCTATATTCCTTCTTCTGGTCTCTGCTTCTTCCACAATCTTGTTCACCCACATCTCCCCTTTTCTTTAACGTATAGAATAATGTTTGTGTTATTATACATGTATATTACATCCGAATGATTACATTGAACCTGTACGATCAAAACTACTATAAACTATAAAACTACAATTAACTATATTGTTGAACTATAAAACTACTATTAACTCTACCGTAAAGCTTACTGATTTCTGTAACCCTCTTATAACCCTCTTTCTACATCCACTTCTTTTTAACACAGGGAAACAAACATGGTCAACATAACATTAACAGAACTATCAGGCCTGATAACATTAAAACCAATGATACTTTTGTGAACAGAAAAGATTTCTCGTTTCTGATGGTTGTTCATGATGTTCAGCTGTTTCTGATGGTTTTTCGTGATGCTCGGGTTTCTAGGTACGGCCGAATGTATCTTGCTGAGATCCACTTGGGACCATTTCCTGTGGAAACACAAGCATATCCTCGCCCCCAAGTTATCAATGGCACGGGGCCTTCCCATTGTCCAGTGGCCATATCATGAATATGGACCATTGGCCGTGTTTTGAACATTGAGGAAGCTCCGAAGTGTCCATTCACTCGTGTCACTTCAGTGTTGTCTCTGTTTAGAAAATTTAAAACAAAAGTGGCTTTCTATAGTCGTCCCTGTAGTGGATCTTCCAGACTCCCCCCTCTTTGCTTAATTATCAATTGCTCTAGCATTTGATGGGCACACTCAACAATCGCCTGCCCCTGTAGGGCGTGTGGAATTCCAGTGATGTGGTGAATGTCCCATTCCTGTAAAAAAAAGTTGTGTGGTTTTAGATACATATAAAGGGCCATTGTCTGTCTTGATTGTTTCTGGTATACCCATAGCAGTGATAGCTGCTAGCCAGTGTCTTCAGACATCTCAACTCTTTTTTCCTGTTTGTGCAGTGGCAAAGATATACTTACAAAAAGTATCAACAGTGACATGTATATGCTTTAGGCAACCAAATTCTCCAAAATGTGTGACATCCATTTGCCAAATTTGCAGTGGTGAGGTGCCATGTGGGTTAACTCCCAGTTGTGGCAACGGGGCTGTAGATTGGCATTCAGGGCATGTCAAGATAATATTACGTGCTTGGTCTGTGGTTAGCTGAAATTGCTTTTGTAGTGCCTTCCTGCTTTGGTGAAAAAAGTTATGTGAGAACTGTGCTTGTTGAAATAATTGCGGTGTGGCGAGGGTGACTGTGGCTTTGTCTGCAGCACGGTTGCCCTCGGCTAGGGGTCCTGGCAGAGAGGTGTGTGACCGTGTATGAGTGATATAATAGGGTAATTTACGGTAGGAAACATAATGCCATAATTTTTTAAGTTGTCCAAATAACTCTGAGTTGTTTTCCTTTAGGAAAGTGCCTTCTAGACGCTGAACACTTCCTGTAACATATAAAGAATCAGTTATGATATTGAGATTTACATCAGAGAAAAGCTGAAAAGCATGTGTGATAGCTGCAAGCTCAACAACTTGGGGCGATCCATTGACACATTTTATATCTTGGTTCCAGAGATTGTCGGTGGATCGCCAAAGGACCACTGTTCTATGTGTTTTCCCAGAACCATCTGTGAATGCTGTAACTGCATTAGAAACTGGGGTATGAGAAAGTAAGGTTAGACATTGCAGTCCAGTAGGTGTCAGCTGTCTTTTAGAGTCCAAGTCAGGATCATATTTTAACAATTGAAACAGGAGGTGTAGATCTTGCGTAGTGATACCCAGAAAAGGTCTGAGCCAGTTGATGGTTCCTAACAATTTTTGTAAATCATTCGGAGTCTTTATTTGTAATGCCAGCTGCAGTGCTTGTGGCTGGATGATGTGAGTTGTAATTTTCCATCCTAAATATTTCCAGGGTGGTTCACGTTGGGCCTTTTCCTTGGCTATCTGCAAGCCTGCTCCTTGGACAGCAATACGGACTTGGCAGATGACTGTCTGCAGGTCTTTGTCCTTTTCGGCGGCGAAAAGTATGTCATCCATGTAATGATAAATTATAACATGAGTGTTTGCATTTCGGGCAGGTTGCAAAGCATTTGCTACAGTTAATTTGCAGATAGTTGGGCTCTTTAGCATACCTTGTGGCAACACAGTCCAATGATATCGTCTTGTCGGTTGTTCCTGATTGACAGATGGTACAGAGAATGCAAACCAGGGCGCATCCTGTGGGCTTAGAGGAATAGCAAAAAAACAGTCTTTGAGATCAATGATGGTTTTTGGCCAATTTTGAGGCAGCATAGAAGGTGAAAGAAGACCAGGCTGTAGCGCATCCATGGGCTCAATGACAGCATTTATCGCTCAAAGATCATGTAACAATAGCCACTTGCCACTTTTCTTTGGTATTACAAATACAGGAGTGTTCCACGGGCTGGTATTAGGTACAATCCGGCCAGCGGCCAATTGTTCTCATACTAAGTCATGCAAATGCAGCAGTTTATCTTTTTTTCAGGAGCCATTGATCTACCCAAACAGGTTTTTCTGATTTCCATGTCAATGAAAGGGCCTACTCCTTGTCAATAGTGCCTATTAAAAATTTGTTTTCAGGAAGATTCCCCACTGGCTTAACAAGTCTCGGCCCAATAACGTTCAGGGCACGGGGAGGACATAAAGAGCTGTTTGTGCAATCTTTTTTAAGATGCCCAGGCTTTCCACAATTATAGCAGTCTGCCTTTTGAGCAGCCCCCACAGTGAGCTGTGTTGATAATGCATCAGCTAAGAGACTCATTTTATGAGTTTCTGTGCCGATATCTTGGCACACTTCTATCGTATCAGTGATAGAGGGATTAGCATTCTTAATTGTTTGCAACATTTTACGGCAGTCAGCATTACCATTTTCGAAAGCTAATTGTTTCATAAGAATATCACAAGCTCCTTGGTTATCTACTTGTCTCTCTATTGCATTCTGGAGCCGATCAAGGAATTTTATATAGGCTTCTCCAGGCACTTCGTGGTAGCAGAAAAGGAAGCTTCTGGAGGAGCTGTATCAGGGACCCATCTTATCGTGGGCAGTACAATTTCTTGTACTTGCTCAAAACACTGTCTGTCCATCTGGGCTTGCATGTCGGGAGTAGCCCGAGGCCCCTCACATTCACACCAATGTAATTTGAATTGCCAGTTCAGTTATCCAATTCTTTAGCCATCGCGAGATCACCGTACTCAGTCATGAACACAGCACATTGCATAGCCGACAAAACCATACACAACAACAATTTCCAATCATGAGGAATCATGACATACCTGTCACCAAGAGCTGTTAGTAAGTTCATGGTATGTCCTGACTGGAGACCATAATCTTTTACTGATTTCCTCAGCTCTTTAACATGATCATAACTCAAAGCCTCCCACGCTCCGGGTCGATTTCCACAATAAATAACAGGAAACACCTGCAAAATGTCTGTGTTGCCTTTAGCTAAGGCTTCTTTTCAACATTTGTCCCACACACTACGACAATCACTCGAGGGGGTTAGGTCATTCCCCACTGCCTCCTTCTTTTTATTATCAGAAAGAAATTGATTAGGTTCTTATCTGTGTCAGTCGGCCCAAGATCGAAGGAGTCTCCTGAGAGACTCTCTTCGTCAACATAGGTATTGCCCAGGGGGATGGCAGCGGGGCAGAAGGACACGTTGGGGTCTCCTCAGAGTTTCTTTTTGTCCCTTTGCAGAGCTCTATTGGGTTTCAAATATCTGCCACCAGACTAGTAAATGCTGAGCTGCAGCTTTATCAGTCCCTGCAGCAGCGTCCCAAAGTTTTGTGCCAATTTGGTCCCACATGTCTTTGTCAAAGGTGCTGGTCTTAGGATAGTCTGGGACATTTTTTCGTACCCAGTCTAAGAAACTTACTAAAGACAGGTTAGGTATAGATCGATTCTGAGATATTTCTAATAACATCAAAAAGCTACCTCCAAGCCTTGGCTGTATTCCAAAGCAGTACCTATTCACATAAGGTTTCCGCAGAACACATCAATGAAATACTCAAAAGCAAACTAATAATGAGTGACAGCAAATGAGAAATGACAGCATTTAAAATGCTAAGCCTAGGCACCATGTTGGCCTTCCCTTTACCTTATCGCAGTTTCCCTACGCAGCTTTCCCAGGAGATCATATAAACATAGAATGGTTTAGGTTGGAAAGGACCTTAAGGATCATCTACTTCCAAGCCCCTGCCAGGGGAAGAGACACCTCTCACTAGACCAGGTTGCTCAAAGAAAGCCCCATCCAGCCTGGCCTTGACATCCCCTTCCAGGGATGGGCTGCCCACAGCTTCCCTGGGCCTCACCACCTTCAAAGTGAAAAATTTGTTCCTGATGTCTAATGTAAATCTCCCCTCTTTCAGTTTGAAGGCATTACTCTGCATCCTATCACTACATGCCCTTGTAAATAGTCTCTCTCCAGCTTTCTTATAGGCTCCCTTCAGATACTGAAAGACTACTATAAGGTCTTCCAGAATCCGTTTCTTCTCCAGGCTGAACAGCCCCAACTCTCACAGCCTGCCCTCATAGAAGAGGTGCTCCAGCCCTCTGATCATCTCTATGGCCCTCCTCTGGACTCTCTCCAACAGGTCCACATCCTTCCTGTGCTGTGAACTCCAGAGCTGGATGCCATATTCCATGTGGGGTCCCACCAGAGCAGAGTAGATGGGTTGAATCATCTCCCTCAACCTGCTGGCCATGTTTCTTTTGATGTGACCCAGGTTACAGCTGGCCTTCTGAGCTGCAAGTACACATTGCCAGCTCATATTGAGTTTCTCATCAACCAACACCCCCAAGTCATTCTCCTCTGCACTGTTCTAAGAGATAAACACAAGAGGAGCACCTTTTTTCCTCCTTACTTGCTAGTGTAGTTCCATTTTGTCTCTTGTCAGAGAGACTTGAACTCACACTTAGCCTTTCAGAATGCTACAGACTGACATGTGTACACAAAAGCCTGTCTCCTTAGGGTATTCTGTTATGTTCATGTGATGATCCTTCTTGCCTGGGATCTCCTTCTCCTTCTTGCTGCAGCTCAGAGATGTTCTTTCCCCACTTCAGCAAGCTTTTAATGGCAAGCTCCCTGCTCTGTTGAGCTTCAGGCAACAGTATGTATATCTGTTTGTACTGCTAACAAGTATTTTTCCTATATATTAGCATGGAAGCAAACTCACTATTTAAGCAGCAAGATCTTAAGCACCATCTGAGCAACATTATGCACAGATTGAGCAAAAGGGTCTAGCTATCATTTTCAGTGTGCAGAGATGTTGATAATATCTCTCTGGCATGAAACTGCCCATAATCACTGATCACCAAACCTCTTACTCTGATTTTAAAAGTGGGACAAGGAGGTCAATTTTAGTGTTACCTCTTCCAACAATTCAGAGCAGGAGGCATACTGGGTGATGGTTTAGAAATGGTGTACTGAACACTGATCCTCAGCACAGCAGTTTCTGATACTGATGGACTTCAAGGTTGTAAAATGATTCTGCTGTGGATATGAGATGCCACAAACCAGAATACTGTTCAAATCAACCAATTACTTGAGACGGTGAAGCAAATCTTCCAGACCAAACAAAGAGATAGCTTTTCGTCTGAAATTTTAAGCCTTATATCAAAAAGGTGAACAAACAATTTAAAAAAGAAAAATTCCCTTGAGTTATCATTTTTATAGGAAAGTTGCGATCTCCTGTGCTTTATAAGACTCATTGATCTGGAAAAGTACTGTCATGAAGTTTGAAAATACTTTTATGAAAAGTTTCTGACTGGTCCATAAGCAAGGTTGTTAGGTGAGTAGTCATAAATGAAGACACTGGACTGTATTAAAAAAATCCATGTGTAAGGGTTTATTCTTGGCAATCAAATTTCTGGAGAGATCGAATACAAAGGCTGTGCAATTTACAGGTGCTCTCTTATGATACTGTAATCCAATTGCAGTCAATGTCTGAGACCATTTCTCCATTCTCAGTTAATGTGAGCAGACTGAATAGTTTTGTTTCACTTTTATGTCATGTACATTACCTGGTAATAAATTTTACCATACATCTTGATTTCAACCACATAATTTCAAGAATTGTTTTATTCTGCTTGCTTGCTTTCTTTTTTATACATTTTATATATGTCTTTTTCTTTTTGTTTTCATCTGTAATATTGACATCTAATAATTTCATAAAATAAAAAAAAATATTAAAGAAAAAATGTATCACAAAGCATAAAATGTATTTATTCCCTTAAATACTGCCACATATACCTCTATATAGAATCATAGAATCATAGAATCATTCAGGTTGGAAGAGACCCTTGGGATCATCGAGGCCAATCATCTACCCTACTCTACATAGTCCTCCCCTACATCATATCCCTTAGTACCGCATCTAAATGGTATGTATGTTCAGTACTAAAGTTTTACAGACTTAAAAAAGGATATACACAAGGATCATGTGCAAGAGTGGAATCTGTGAAATCTCGAGCAAGGAAATATATTTATAGTTATTAGGTAAACAACTGAGTAGAGAGAAGTTAAAAGGTAGTTTAAGGTCTATATGTAAAATTGAAAACTCAGTTGAAAAATAGGCAGTGAAATTCTCCCTCTAAAGTGTCTTGTATTGGGTAGAATGAGATTTTAATCACATTTTTCTGTTTTCCCCCCAAGTGCTAGGAGCCCATAGGTTGACGTTTTGCTACATGCAAAATTGTACCATCCATGAACTCCACCATGGTGTGGAAGGCAACTGCAAAGTCACTGAATTCCTCCCTTTTGTCACCATCTAACTAGAAGTTCTATTACACAGGACTCGAGGTTGTTATTTGTGGGATTTCACCCATACAAGAACACCTTTAGAGAAAAACCATCCATGGTTGCAAGATGTCCAGTGATATGCTGTTCACATTACACTAAATCTTTCTGTACATATTTACATGCATACTTGAATACATCAATAAAACACATTTATTTTTATTGTCAATAGCATGTTTTCTGTGTGCTGCTTTTTCATTTTACCTCTCTAAAAATAAATTTTCTGAAGTACGTCTTCATGAAGGGAGTAGTCTGAGCTTGCATTGTTGTATGGGAAATGGTGTGGGCAATTCAGCCTCAGTCTCCGTCTTCACACTTCACCAAGAGTTATTAATTAATAAGGATGTATTTTCCACAGAGGTCCAAGAGGACTCTAGCTCCCCATTAGCAGTAGCTTGTAGAGGCTCACATTCCCTGTTACAGTACAAGGGTGATGCTGTATGCCTGCTTTGTCCTCTCATCAGATTGTGGCTGTGTCCAATCCTGACTGCGATTACTGCTGTAATTGCAAACAGTTTGATTTCTCAAACAATCTCAGCTCTTGCTATGCTCCCCTGGTCCTCTTATAGAAAAATAATTTGTTTTTATTTCTCTGCCTGCAGATTCTGTAAACATCAGATCACATTTTGAAGTGTCCCCTCCACCCCCCACTGGCTATTTATGGAGCCTGTGGTGACTGATAGGATCATGAAGGGTGTTTTATTGGCAGGAAGTTTTAATAAGCAGGAAGTTTTAGGGTTCAGACACAAGCTCCCTGAGCGACCTCAACCCATTCACTTTGTCTCCCCTATGCTCCTGTTGCATAAAAGAGTAGTCTTATCTTCCTTTAAAATGTTATGAGATGTTTGCTTAGTACTATGCTATTTAAGCACCTATGTCACTTTTGGTTGGATTGCCATTCTCCCCATTGCCTGTTTGTTTTATTTATGTTTTTAAATAAATACTTAAATAATAAGAAAGCTTCTCAGATTCCTAGATTGTTTCCATCACAAACTCATATATAACATAGCTCTAATATTAAAGGTTATGGATTTCTATATTATACAAAGGAAGTGTCTTGAAAATTATGAATGAGCAGATAAGCTTAGTCGCTTAGATTTTATGCTGTTGGTAATGTTTATGTTGTGTCTTTTTAATTAAAATGAAGGAAGGGGATAACAAAAAAGCTGTCAGTTGCTTATAGGAAATGCCTATTTTAGTATGTGTTTTTCTGTCAGCCTTTTGCAAGAGTTGTCCTTGACGCCAAATGCCAAAACATCTTTTCTATATAAATTATTAAGAAAGAGCATTGCATATATT